AGTTGTGGGGCGAGTGTCCCCGCCTCTCCCAGACCCGCCCCTTCCTCTCTTGTAGGTCGTCTTGTCCCCTCCAGCCACGTGGCTGCTGCCTCTGCCCATCTGGCCCTGTATTTATTTATCTGCCACCATGGGCCGCCTGTGAGTGTCCCCAAGGCCTCAGCCCCTGCCAGGCTCTGTGCTTCCTAGGTTGTGGGTAGCCACTCCAGGGCAGAGGAACTGGGGAACTGACCTCCCCTCATCTCCTAACCTCCGACTCCCCATAGGCGCCCAGCCCCACCGCTGCCCAGCACCCTGGGAGTCAGAGTGGACACTGGCCTGGGTCCCCTGACACCCCTGGGCTCACGAGAGCCTCATGGTGGTGAGGCATGCTGTCATCATTCTTGTAGAGGGGAAACTGAGGCCCGCTGAGGAAGAAGCCATGGGTGGCAGCCCTGGCCTCTGGCCTGGCCCTGCCCACCAGAGGCTTCCAGACTAGTGCTCAGGCTGACGTGGCTCCTTTGCCACTCACCAGTGTCCCCAGTGGTCCGGGCCCAGCCTCCACCAGCCCATGGCAGTGCCCGCCCATCACAGCCAGTACACAGGGGCCCTCAAACCGGGGGCCAGAGCTAGCCCTGTGGTTGGAGGGTCCAGGGTGGCACAGGAGGCACCTGTATCTGAAAACGGGGTGTAAGTGTGGTGGGTGGGCAGGGTAGGCGGTGACCCTCTGTTGGCCGGGGAGGCACAGCCACCCAGCAGTCTCTGGAGGGGGCAGCTTCTCCATCGTGTGGTGACCTGGGACCCCAGGGCTGCAGGCTGTGGAGTCCTGGCTCCACTGTCCCATTAAGAGCCCGCTAACCCAGTCCGCCAGCTCGGGCCCCCAGACAGCAGGACGCACGGAGACGTGGGGTGACCATCCTGGAAAATCCCAGTCCTTCCCCTTGGGTCACAACCCACTCTGCTGTCCCCGCGGGCAGCGTCCCAGGCACCTGACTGAGCTATAAACAGAGGATGACAGAAGGCTCCCGGGGGAGGCGGGCGTAGAGACGGCGCTCCCTGCGGCCAGTGAGGGGGCTCAGGGGAGAGGAGCTGTCGAGGGGAGCCCCAGCAGAGGCCCCAAGGCAAGGGGGTAGGGGGAGCAGGATGCAGGGGGTGGCTGACGGAGGGGCTGTGGCCAGGGGCACTGAATGCCGAGTCAGGGCTCCGTTCTAGGTCCGAGTCGCTCTCCAGGTGGCTCTGGCTTGGGTTGGAGAACTAGGAGTCCAATTTAAGAACAAGCAATTTCCCAGGCTGGGGCCTGATGCCAAGATGGCGTGGCCAACCTTTCCCAGCGGGAGGAGGTGAGCTGGGACCTGCCTGGGCAGCCTGGCCCCAATGGCTTCCTTCTTCCCCACCACAGAACCTTGGCTTTACCCACACAAAACCATCTGCACTGAAGACCACATTTCCCAGATTGCCTGGCCTCGTGTGCCACCCCAAGTTCTTCTGTGGGATCTAAGAGGTGCTGGGACAGATGGAGTCTCCTGTGCCTCTTCGTCTCTGCTCGCGGGAACTAGTGTGATAACCAGACCTGTAGCAACTATATCGGGTCATGGGGTAAAGCCACTCAGTAAGAGCGACGAAGCACACCTGTACCCTCAGTGCTCTGGAAAGCTGAGGCAGGAAGATAACAAGTTCGAACCAAGCCTGGGCAATTTAGCAACTTAATGAGACCCTGTCTCGAACTATAAAGAGGGGGCTGGGATGTAGCTCTGTGCAAAGGCCCTGAGTTCAGTACCCAGGACCATAGGTGGGTGGAGCAAACAGGAAAGAAGTCTGAGATCTGATTTGTGAAGCTGCCATTCCAGCCCTGGATCCAGACTCCCCTGGATGTTTTTTCACTTGGGAGAAAAGTCAACTTTTGCACAGCCTTGCCCACTGCTGCATGGATTTCCCCCTCTCTTTCGGGGGAACATCAGGCCAGAGTGACCCTCTAGAAAATCTCAGGGCAGGACGGAGCCCAGGAGTCAGTGCAGAGCCGGATGTGGGCAGCCAGCCAGCCTGGACACCTGCACCTCTCGAAGCCATGGTCCTGCCAGGCTCCGGCTCTCGGACCCCCAGCCCTGCCCAGGAGGTGGTGCCGGGCCCAGGCCAGGAGGTCCCTGCCCCAGCTGGCCTCCTGGATGCCCGCACTGAGGAGGCCAGGACGGAGGTGCCCTGAGGGTCGTCCCCAGGCCTCCACGGGCCCCTCCTCCCCTCCTCCCGGGACGAGGGTACTGTGAGCCCGCAGCTCCTCCTGGGCAGTGACCCGTGGCCAACAGAGACCCCGTGGGCCCCTGGCAGGGACTGGGCACAGCCTCCTCTGGGTGGAGGGGACAGGGCCTCGGCCCCCAGAATGGCCCTCCTGTCCCCCATGGCGGTCTGAGCTCCTCAAAAAGACTGCATCATCGCGCCCCGGGCCCAAAATCCCCAGCCAAGAAAGATGCCGCCTCACACCCTGGGCCGGCTCAAGTCACAGCCAGGGCCTAGTGCCCGCGAGGCCAGGGAGCAGCTGGAAGCCTTATGCACTGCCCACCACTTGGGAGGGCCCGCAGTGCCTCAGAATTAGAGCCAGGAGTCACCATGTGGCCCAGCAATTCTTCTCCCAGCTATAAAGCCAAGAAAATTGAAAACGTCCTCAAGAAACTGCAGAGAAATGTTCATAGGAGCATTGCTCATATGACAGAAAGGCATAGCCGAGCACGGTGGCACACACCTGTAACGCCAGCAGTCAGGAGGCTGAGGCAGGAGGATCGCCACAAGTTCAAGGCCAGCCAGGGCTACCTAGTGAGTTCAAGAGCAGCCAAAACGCACAGAGAGACCCTGTCTCAAAAAAATAAAAAATAAACTGTGAATGTCCATGAACTGAGGAATGGATGTACCACACCACAGAGTGCTACTTACCACAGGAAAGAGAGGCACACTGTGGAGGCATCACAGTCAACGGCCCGATGCCAGAGGACAGACGCAGGGTGCTGTCACACGGTTCCATTGGTGGGAAGTGACCAGAGCCGGCAGCCTCACACAGGAGGAGTGATTTCAGGCTGGGTGCAGCGCTAAAGGGGCAGAGGTTCTTTGTGGCGGACGTTAAGTGTTCTGGAATTAGCGGTGATCAATGCAGGGCAATGAATATGCGCACACTTCAGAAGCATGAGCTCTGCAGCTTGCGGAATTATGTATCAAGAAAGCTGTCACTAAAACTACCCAGGCAGCCTCTGAGGTCTGCAAGAGTACTAAGCAAGACCCGCCCACCAGAGGCCTGAGTATCTCAAATCGGGCAGACAAGCTGCAAATAAAGCACGTTTTCTGCTCTTACTCACATGTATAGCTCAGAATTGAGAAGTCAGCGCCGAGCTCTGGTTTTCTTGTTCTTCGAGGCTGCTGTGTTTGGCTCTCCTGCGAACGAGCTGCCTGTGGACACGCGAGAGGCAAGCGTGCAAAGAACCAGTGTTTCCTCCCCAAGAAGTCACACGTCTGCGTTTCACCAAAATCACCAGTCTGTGTTCCAGGGACGACAGCACATCAAAAAGTTAAAGAATTGAAATACAGCTTTCTTCAAAAAATGTAAATTATAGTAAATATAAGATTTAAAAAGTATTTTTCAGAAAGGCATTTTTCTAAAATATTCAATATTATTTATTGAAATTAAAAGGAAAGATACAAATGATGATATAACAGTTGAAGCCATGAGATTTGAAATTAAACCTGAAGTTTTAGTAATTTTTAAGAGTGCTGGGGCCGGGGATATAGCTCAGTGGCACCGTGCTTGCCTTGCAAACACAAGGTCCTGAGTTTGACCCCTGGTACCACAAAAAAAAAAAAAGTGTAATACAAGTTAAATAACCACTTTTGAAACAGTAACCCATTAGCAATTCTAGTGTTCTGGGGCCACGGTTGGTAATATAAAGAATCGGAATAACATTTCCTGCAACTTATATCTAAATTTATGTATACAAATATGAGAGTAACGTGGGTTGTTTAAGCACCGTAAAATGTCACACACACACCTCCCCACCGAGGATACAAGGTCATGCACAGGCCTCTCTGGAGGTAAGAGTTGGTAGATGAAGAAAAGCAAGGAAAAGGACTTTTGGCCCAGTAGAGGAAGAGCCCTGGTCTGCAGAAAGCTACAGAACCCAGGCCCTCTCTGGGGACCTGACAAATTCAGCAGTTTTCCGGCCTTGTCAGTTTTAGTCAGATTTCTGCTACTACAACAGAATGCCTACAATAACCAACTTAAATGGGAAAAGTTTCTGTATCAGTCACTTTTCCGGCACTGAGACCCACACAACTGAAAGGAGGAGGGGTTTGGTGGGCTCAGTCCGTGTTGGAGAGTCGCTCTCCTCACCGTGCTCAGGAAGCAGCCAGAGGCGGGAGGACCCTTCCAGGTCACCGCAGCGATGACCTCCAATGGGGCCCCACCCTCTCCTAACCGAGCAGTCAGCTGTTGCCCGCGTTCCCTGCTGAGCACAGTGCCCCGTGATCCAGTCACTTTCCAAAGCCTGCCACTGAACATGTGAGTCTGGGAGACTCTAGACCCAAACTGTAGCACCCAAAGAAGCATCTCTGCCTCTCGGGGTGCCCTCTCCTCAGAGGAGGAGCCCATTTCTCAGGTCAGCAGCAGCACCACTCAGAGTCCCTTGCTGCATGGAGACTGGGTTCCTTCCCTACCCAGGGCTGAGGCAGGCGCATGGGTGAGGTCCCCGGGCCTGAGCTGTGGGCCAGGGCTGGCCTTGCTGGTACCTGCAGGCCCTCTTGGGGCCACCCCTGTGGGCCACTCTCCCGCTGGTCCCCACGCAGCCAGCACGTGTCCCGCAGCCTTGTCTCAGGTGCAGGTGTGGAGACCCAGGGTGTCGGCACCGGGGGAAGCTGCGCACGGAAGCCCAGGGCCGTGGTCCCACCCTTCCTGGCCTCCTCTGTCCCACCCCAGGGCAGCCTTGGCAAGTGGGAGCTGGGGGCTGGAGCGGATGTCCCACACCCTGCCTTTTCCTCTGCCGATGTCTTGGGGACCCAGTGTCCTCTGGGTTGCCCAGGGTGGACCCCTGAGCTGGGAGTGCGCAGGAGGGGACTGGAAGGTGTCCCACTCGGGCCACGCTGAGTCCTCACCACCACAAGACTCAGTTTCTCTCATTTGAATGCTGAGGTGAGGGCTGAAGTGGCCACGGGTCCTCGGTATTGATGGTGTCACCGAGGCAGGGGCTCCAACACCCTCCCAAGGCCCAGGGCAACAGAGATGCCTGGCCAGACTCCAGTCAGCCATGAGCCAGAGTCCTCAGATGGGGCCTAGTACTTCAGGGCAGCCACTCATCTGGGGCAAGGAGCCTGGGGTGAGGCCCGGGGGTCCCCACCCACCTTCCAGCCCTCTCAAACTGCTGCCACCACAGATTCTGGGCAGAAAATGGAGCTCCAGGCCAAAAGGAATACTACGAGCCCAGTGTGACCGTGATTTCATAAAAGCAGAGATGCTCCTGGAACCCCACAAAGTCACAGCACTGTCCAAGGTATTGGGAAACACTGGGAACTTAAGACTGAACGAGCCAAGATCCACCCTGCTTCATCCAGGGGCTGGGCCATGGCCACCCGAGGCAACGTGTGGGAGACAGAGTTTAGGGCACCAGGTGGCCACACCGAGGCGGGGACATGGGGCGTAGGGTCTGCCACCCAGGCCCCCGTGTGCCCTGGGGCAGCAGGGCTCGGAGAGAGGGAGCCACTTGCCCAAGGCCGTGCAGCAAAGCAGGGCCAAGGTGGGCCCCGGGCCTGCTGAGGCCGCAGGCAGAGCCCATCCTTTGTCCCAACCTGAGGTGACTTCTGGCCACTGGCCCCTCCTAGAGGACTCAGCCCGCACCCAGGCGCCCGCAGGAGGAGGGCCCTGGGCCTCCCTGTTGTTACTGGGTAGCTGGCTGGCAGGCGACTAATTACCCTTGTCACCCAGACTCCAGGGAGACAGCTCTGTAATCTGCCCTCCCCCCATCACCACGGAGGCCGACGGTGAAGACGGGAGGTGGGGACAGCTGGCTGGCAGATGGACGAAGGAGACAGTGGGGGACCAGGGTGGGCACAGCTGTCACCTGCCACAACACAGTCCAGATGGGTAAACCGAGGCAAGGTCATCTAGGGCCCCGCCCCAGGGAGAGGTGCCAGTGAATGGGGTTTCTGGGAGATGTCCCCAGAGGCTCCATGGGGTCACTGCAAGCAGGACTTGGAAGTGGGACTGTGGATACCAGGGGCACTCCTGGGACCTGCGGCGGGGCAGGCAGAGCGATTGTGGGGTCACCTGTGTCCTGTGACTCCCGTGGCCTGGAGCTCCTCTTCCCATCCTGCCCAGTGCACAGGTGCTGCCTGGCAGAGGCCTCTCCAGGGAAGGCAGCAACTGCTCTGTTCACCTCCCCAGGTCCCGCCTGAGGCCTCAAGGCAGCTCAGGGAGAAGCAAGGCCATGAGCCCGGGAGCAGCACCACGCGGGTCTGGGGGCAGGGCAGTGCGGTGCAGCACATCCTCCTGGGTCCAGGTCCACCGTGCCACAGACTCCTCTGTGTGGTGTGGGGCGCACATCTGCCACCCAGGAGTCCCGGACACTGGCCACGCAGTGAAATCCCATCACAAACAGACAGTGCCAGGCAGGGTGGCGCACGGAAGGCTGCCCTCGTCCTGCCCTTGGGGTTCCTCTGCTCCCCTCGGACCCTGTACCCGGCGGCTCCAGCAGTCCCAGACTGTGCTCTCCCTGTTGATGGCCCCTGGGTGGCCCTGACAAATAGCACAACTGACCCCCCCGAAGGTCTCACGTGCAGCCATGCTCTGTCTCACGTGTGGCCACGCAGCCGTCTTACTTGTCACCTGGGGACACCAGCCACCCTGAGAAGGGCACCCCAAGAGGCAGGACCTCATCTTGTCGTGACGATGTCTGTGAAGCCCTATGTCCCGATGGGGGTGCTGTCCGGGTGGGGACATCGAGGATGGAGATGAATGCCCAGGCCCCACACCCTGCACCCCAGGGCCAGGCTCGAGGCAGTTCCAGCGTGGGGCCCAGGTCCCAGCCGCTGTCCTGCCCACCATGGGTAGATTCACACAGCACCTCCTGGATTGGCCAGGTCAACTGGGGCCCCCTTCTGTGGCTGTGGAGAGAGGCTTCCACCTGCCCTAGGGGCTCAGGCAGGGCTGCTGAGCCAAGTGCCTTGGCAGTGACTGTGCCACTCAGCACCGCCATGGCGTCCCCAGGAGGCTTCTCTGTAGCCAGGGCGACTGCTAATCCGGGCCCTGCCGGCCCCGTGTCAGGCTATGGCTGGGGGTGCAGAGCAGGGGACAGTGGGGGCCAAAGGGGTGAGCCCGCTGTCTGGGTACACCCCCAGCCCTGTGCCCAGGCCCCAGCTCTCGGTGGCCACTCCTGCCCGGCTGAGCCAGTGGGGATGGCAGGAAGGAGGCTGGAAAGGTCAGCGGCCCTCGCCAGGGACGTCCAGATGCAAATGTGGAATTTACACTCCTGAGTGCCCGCTGCCCGCTGCCTGCTGCCTGCCCGCCCATGTGCCAGCCGCAGCCTGCTCTGGGTGGCAGATGCCCTTGGCCTGCTGGGCAGGCAGCTCTGGGGTGCTCTCTGCCTCTGAGGAGCCCAGGCCTTGTGGGGGATCCGGGGCACCGGGGGCTTGTCCTGCTGGCCCGGCCTCCCTCCGGGCCTCGCCCAGCCCTGACCCTGGCCGGAAGAGCAGTGCCACCACCCTCCTCATCACAGCTCCCCCGGGGCATGGGGTCCTCCACTCTGCTGCAGTTCCAGGGAGGAGGGAGGAGGGGAGGAGGAGCTGAACCGCAGCCCCCCAAATGCTGGCCTTTCCTTTCGACCCCATCACTGTCCTTGGCTCTTCCAGGAGAGGAAGCTGAGGCAGGAGAGTCCCCCAACACACCCGTGCCCCGAGGACGACAGATCCAGGGCTCAATGCCACACAAGCAGGGCCTGGTTTGCCCAGCACCCATGCTGGCCTCCCACCCACCCTCGGGTGTTCAGCCTGGCAAGCCTGGAAAGGCTCTCGTTCTCCATCCAACGTGGCTCACCAGGCCCTGGGTACCCGTGCCTTACAGGTGCCCATGTGTGCACATGTATGAGCATGCAGCACCACAGCACGGGGGGCTGCAAAGTGCTTGCTCTGCAGCCCAGGAGCTTCCTGGCCTCTCTGCACCTGGCTCATGGTGTCCCTGGAACACTGGTGGGGGCTTTTCCAGGCCGGCCGCACCCTGCCTGTCTGGAACCCCCAGGGCAGTGGTGACCACCTTCCTCCCCTGCTCTGACAGCACCCTCTCCCCGGGAATGCCACCCATGGGTGCTGGCTTCGGCTCTCTCTGCCTGAGTGACAAACCCCAGGGACAGTCAGGCGTCTCGGAGGCTTCTCTGCTCAATCTCTGCTCTCCTCGCTCCACCCTGAGTCCTCTCCTGCTCCCCACTGGCTCTCTAGGCTTGAACCTCTCATCCTCTCTCCTCCTGTCATTGCCTGCCCTTCGTCTTCTTCTGTGAAGG